TATATATATATATAAAACTCTTAATATTTCAAAAATATAATTCATCTTATTTTACAATTGGTTAATTTACTTTATGATTTCGAAATAAATTCTTGTTATCATTAATATAATTTTTTGCTTGTTTATTTACCTGTTTTTAAAGGTTTCTAGTGTTATTTTAAGGCATCCTTTTAGTCTATTTTGTAAATTATTATTACTAAAAAATTAGTAACCTATATTTTTTTAAAATGTAAACGAATAAATAGATTTTAACTTTGAATTTGGTAAGATACAACAATCTAACAATTAAGTTAAATTATATTACATATACTGTACTGTACATGTATTGTACTGTAAATATAAGCTTATACAATTGATGTAGGCTTACATATCTGTAATTTATTTTTAACTTTTTCAAACAATATTTATGAGTCAACAGAAAAACATTATTAATATTTAAAAATGATCATGTAATGAATTGTAACATAAAAATTATTTTTTAAGTTTCATATTTTAGATAAATTAAAATATTTTAAATTATATAAAATAATTATTTGGCAGATGCGTTTTGAATTCTGCATGCAGTCTGCATGTGTAAAATTATTAATATTTGTACCTAACAGTTGTTTTAAATGTTTTTCTAAAAACGAATTTTAATTTAAAATATCGATTTTTTTAAGAAAAAATTTGAATTTGTATTGTTATATTGTGAAATTCTTAAATAATTATAATATAATTTTACATGTACTGTACTGTCTGTACATGTTAGTGTATCTGATGATTTTCTAAATTTTCTATAAAAATTAATAATTGTTATGATATTCATTAATGATTATTTAAATATTATAGGATTATTCGTCATTGAAATATATATTGCGAAAGAAAACTGAATAGTGGATCGATCCAAATGGAAAAATATCCTGATTGGTGTCACTTCTAGAGTCTAAAAAAAGTAAACTTTTTAATAATTTATAAATGAATTAATTTTATTTTTAATTAAATTTAGATTAAGTTGCTTAAATTAAAAATAATAAAAATTTTTATTGCGTTTTATAACGTGTTATTATAGAATAAAATATATGAATTTATGCGAAATCAATATCAGGTGATTTAATATCGAAATGTTTTGATTATTCATAATTATTTTTATTTTTGTAAGTTTTACCTGTTTCGATAATTTAAGTATTATATATAGGAAATTAATCAGCATTAAATTATCAAAACTAATAAAAATTTTCAAGAAATAAGCTAGGATTTTTCCTATTCATTTACTTATTGAATATCATTAAACATTTAGCATTTTTATGCTAATTTAAACTTATTTAAATAAACAAAAATTCTATCCTTGAATTTCTTGTTCATTTATAGCAGTGTTTCATTTCAACCTCTAACGAATCGTCGCCCCCTTCAACATAGTATCGCCCCCTTCAATAAAACCGTTACGTAATATCGCCCCCTTCACTTTAAAATTCCGATGCCGAGGGCCAAGGCTAACGTCAAATTCGTACTGCATTGAATAGACTAGTGACTAGGATAATATTATTTGTTTAATTATTGTACGATATAACGAATAAAATATCTAATTATTCTTAATATAATGTTTTACTATATCGCCCAGAAAATTGTTTTTCACCCCCAAAATATAAATTGTTACTAATCGCCCCCTCAACATGGAGAAACACTGATTTATAGCGTAAACAATATTCGTTCGATTATTTCATCAAATTATATATTTTTCAGGATCCATTTTAAATAGTTTTCAAACTAAACATTCTAATATACTATATATTTTCTGAATAATTATAATTTTTAATAAATTAAGACATAGCCTATAGAGCTTTTTGTTTTCAAAATGTCAAGGTTTATCAAATTCTAAAATAAATCAGTTATATTTTTCAAACATTAAGACCTTTTATAACTGTAAGTTAGTATAAATTTATAAAAACTATAAGCCTAAATATAGGCCTATATTAAATGTTTAAAAAAATTAGAAGTCTGTTAGAACTTTTGTTAATAAAATTTTAACTTATTCATATAGATAAAATATTTGATAACTAAAAATGAATGATACAAATTACATTTCTAATATAAAAACTTACAAGTTATAATAAAATATAATGACTATATCTATAAACAAGTTTTCTCATGGACATATTTAATCAATTCTATAATTTCAAAAATAATAAAAATGTTATAATTACAGCAGTAATAAAACTATTTTAAATAATGTAAATATTATAGTATACATTTATGATTCTGTATTTTGTCTTATAAATTATTTTTAAAAATAGAAAGAATAACTCGTTGCTAATTTTATAATTTATATTATTTAAAATAAACTCTAATATTAAACCTAGTACTGTATAGGCTTAGCTTATATTATATAATAAAAATCAATTTTTATATTGCTTAATTGATAAAAAATAAATAAAAATACAATTTTCTATATATTTTGATCAATCTTACTGGTATTTCATCATCATTTCAACTATAAACTTTTAAAATTATATTTAATTAAATTTATTATTTACAGACTTTTATATTTTAAATATTTCCATGATATATAAAAATAGCAATATTTTTTAAAGCAATTATTTATTTATTTATATTTTAGCTTCCATATGTTTCACAGAAATTTATAGATATGAAATTCAAATTTTATTTAGCTTTTCGAGTAATTTACTTTATTTATTCGTTTAATAATTAAACATAAGCAAAAGTTGAAGAATTATTTCCTGTAGTATTTTACAGGAAAAATAATGTTAATAAAGTAATAACAAAAGTATTAAGTCTGAAAGGAAGTATGTAGAATATAAATGAAAATATTTAATTTATTATATATACAATAAAAAAGTAAAGTAATAACACATAATTTAGGTTTAAAAAACAAGTAATTAGATATCTGGTAAGATGTTGTTTTGAATCTTTCGGTCCTATAACAATGTAATTTTTTTCNGGGGCAGGACAACACATGTAGGTGACATAATGACTCGGGGATTTTTGTCCTCGTGACTGACTAGTTTCCGGTAAAGGGTGTTGTCGGGTTAAATTTTCTTTCGTTCCGCCCAAAAAAAGAACTGAATGTTGCCGTTAACACTAACATTTACACCCGTTTCTTTCATATCATGTTTAAACACTTTCTTATTTGTCAGTTGTGTAGCTTAATTCATTCATTTGAATTTATCTCCTTTTTTTAAATTAAAAAAATGAATTCTTTTCTTGCTAATTTCTTTTTATTATTATTTAAATTTTTAAATATTTTCGTCGAATTAATAAATTACTTTATTCAAATGTATAAGAATTAATCATTTATATATATATATAAGATCACCCTCTTTAAAAATATCAATCTTTCAATAGAAAATCATAAATATTTTTATGAATATTTAATATTGTCGACGTTTTTCTATATAAATCATAATTAAAAATGGTAATTTCTCTTGATTTCTATTCATAAGACGAATGTTAGCGTAGTTGAATCTAGACACCAATTCTTCTTACCCGGCAAGTAGATACTATTGCATGTCTTGCATGATAAACTTCAAGAGCAAGCATAGATACGGTCCATCTTAACATATTATCTGTATTCTACGATTGCTCTATTTGTCATATGCCACAGAAGTAGAAAAATACGAATCAGATAACGACTGAGCTTACTATGAATAAACAAGGTTCAAACATTTTTGCATGGTTTTATCTACTTAATCTTTTCCTATATATTATGTCAAATTCTACAATAAAAATATAATTACACGAAGAAGAACCAAAGGATAATTTTGTCATCAGTCATGCTAATCAACTTATAATTATCGTGTTGTTAAAGGCAACATCAAGATCCAAATATTTTAGAAAACACTTTGAATAACGTTATGATTACGAAACATTTTTCACTTCTTAAAGAAAATAATCGAATAATTTTATATAAAAATATATGAGTTTAAATTCGGATTCTCATCATTTTTCTTTTTTTATAATCATTTAAAATGATTTTATCAATATTTTCATGAATTATCTGGAGAAGTTTATAGGGCATTACACTTATTTACTCTCCTTTTTCGAAATTCTTGAATAGTCCTATTAGCTATTACTCAAGAAAAACTTGTTTTGATTATTTTTTAAATATTATAACTCGAATAGAATAATTTATATGGTAAAACTGCATCAATAGAATCTAATTAGGATAGAAAACATAATCTTTTAACTATGTTTATGGTTTAAACTGTACTTTAAACTTATTGAAAAAGTTTAGTTTAATATAATTTTCCTTATTTAAAATATATTTTTATAATAAATCTATATTTTATTTTATTAAAATATTAGTAAATAATTCGAATATATTTGATTTAATTTATAATTTTTTAAAGACAGTTTAGTTTTAAATATTAAATATAATTATTTCTAAACATTACTATAAAATATGTTTGATAAAAATTAAGATTAAAAAATTTTTATTTTATATTCATATTTAATCAATAAAAATTTGAAAAAAGTAATGTAGACGCATTTAAGAGATAAAAATGTAAAGTTAAGCAGTAACGATTTGGTAAATGTTTTGAAAGAAAGCACTTAGAAAGGCAGTTAGAATGCTTGGTTGCATTCTTTGCTGATGCGAATAACGAGATGGTAAAAGTGAACAAGAATATGACAACACTCCCTCTTAGAAGTTGTCATCGAGAGGCGGGTTTACGCATGCTCAAAATCTTATCTTTCGCGATGTCACATTTTAGCGTACCAATAAGAGAGACACCTGTTATTTGAATGACAGTATGGTCTAAGATTCGAAAATTGCATCGATCTGTGTATTCCCTAGTTTAATTTAAATGTAATTACAGTTTGTGACAGAGAAACGGCTGCTAAAGAAAATATTTGTTAGCAAAAGACGGTAGATGGGGAAGAAAAGAGTAGGAATTACCATCCCGGATTATTAATACCAAACAACAACCGGGATGGAGATCCATTCTATGCTTACAAAATTCACTTAAAAGAGATTCGAGAATGCAACGTAAATAAACAACGTTGATTAGATGAAGAAATGCGTGCCGGAAACTTATTTTAGATTAACGAACATCCTCTGTTGTATTAACACGGCATTACATAAAGGACAACATAAAAAATAAATAAATAAATAAATAAAATGAACAAGTGTACAGTACAGTACATATATAAGTAAATGTAGAATAATAATAATAATAATAATAATAATACTCCATAGAATTAACGATTTGGTCAGGCGCGAAGAAGAAAACGAAGCGCAGAAAATTAGTTTTATTCGTATTAAAACTCGAAGGAACCGGAAAGGTATAAAATATTTATGGAGGTGTCATGTGATTAGTCGATCTTGTCCAGGATGCTCGCGGTGCACGACGGGAAGGGGACGGTCCTTCCTCCATTCTCTGGTAAATAACGGGTCGCTTTAAGTGTCAACAGGGATAGCATCCCAGATATCAGGGGCCGAGATCAAAGCAACTTTACGCGATTAACTCTCTCACTTTTCTCAAACAATAATAAACTAGTTAAAAATTTAAAAAATCTTTCTCCGTTTATTTATTTTCTTAAAATTACATCTTTCGAATATTCCAGCGAAGAATGCATTCGTTTGAATTACATTTATTTCTTTGAATGTATTTAAATTTCCTCAAGCTTTTTTATTTTTGTTTTTTATTTGTCACTCTCGAATATTTATTTAGCGTACGATTAATAGCGTTTAGAAGACTTTTACTCGTAAAAGGATTTCGTTTAATGAATGGAAGCATCGAAGAGTATTGAATGCGGAAATTATCATCGCATTTCTTTTTAATGCTTATATTTGCTTAGTAAACAAATCCGTCATTTGTTCTTAAACTGGTGTATTTTTTTTCTGGTTTGATTTTTTAAAAGCATTTATCAAACCCTCCATTAATTAAATATATTTATTTTAGAATTCATTTTATTTATTAACCGTGCAAAAACATCAAGTAAAGATGGGCTACGCCGAAAACCCAAATGGAACGCAGGCGCCATCTACCGACCGTCGAGAAAACTAAACAAAGTATAGAGCTAAATAAATAAGTTTGGGCTCGTATCCGTTCTTAAATACGTCTTACGCCACGAAACGATTTTTTTTTCTATTAACTATCTTTTTTTTGCCTCGGTCGAAGTTATTTTTGTAATAGTTTAGTCTTCATTCTGCTTAGTTAGGTGTACAATGGAGTTGGCTATCGATCGAAGGCACGGAGCCAAACTGACTCGAATGCTTTATCAATTAAACTTTTTATAGCGGCAAAGAGAGCCTTTTGTTAACGTGATTGAGAGTGCGACTCCGCTTCAAAACATTTGTTAATAATTTCACAAACTTAAAGGAGTTTAGTTTTAAGACACAGATAAGACTCGGCCAAGAATTTAAAACTGATGCACCAAGGTAAAAAGAGAGGATTTTAGTTTAAAAAAATGAATAAAAATAAAAAAGTTACAAGTTTTTTTTTCTGTAAAGTTGGCAGTTAGTACGGAACGTGACTCGTTTCTGGTTCGTAAACGGATTCGAGTTACGGCAGAGCTGTCACTGTCCATCTGACCGTGACCGACGAGACTAATCCGCCATCTTTCGAAGTCCCGCGTCCAGTGGCGTGGGTGCATTAATTTCGGAAAACGTTGGAGTTCTCGAACCCGTCCGGCCGTTTACACCTTAGAAGAGAGTATCCGTCGAGCGTTGAAGATAAGGCGTAGTTGTTTGGCTGATGCTTTTGAACAGTCTCTTAGATGCGATTGTTGCTAACAGGTCAAGTGAAGTCCGTTAATAGCGAGTGGACTGCTCTCTAGAATAATGGAGTATAACCGCTTTAATCCGACCTCGGAAGTTGAAGAGATATTCTGATTTATCCTAAAGCCTCGCTTAAACGAGACAAATAACATCGCTTCAACATCGATGTCGTATATCTGATGATAACGCGCCAATTTAATTACATACTAATTGTGCGCTTAATTTCGTTGTCTTAATTTTAAGCAGTTCCAAATAGCCCCATTTCCTTCCACGATTTTTATAAACAATAACCGAAATAAATCTCTCTTTTTTTTTGGTACTTTTAACACTTTCTAACTTGTAAATTTGCGCTTGTAACTTTATCGCTTCATTCTTTCTACTTTTTTCTTCTTCTTGAGCAAAACAAATCTTCGAACCTTGATACTTTATCTTTATTGCGTATTTCCTAATCGTATTTTTTTTATTTTTTCCTTCTTTAAGTTTAATAATATACTACACGGCGCTTCCTAAGTGATTTCCTCACTTTATCTTTCTAGTTTGATTAACAGCTGTATCGAATTTCATTAAAACATGGATGGAATTTTTTTAATATACAAACCTAGTTTAAATATTATAATGTGCGTATGTATTATGTTGCAAAATAAATGAATAATGTTTGGTGAAAAAACTCATCGGACAATTTTGCATTCCCTGAAAAATGCAATTTTTTATATATCTTAAACATAAATATTACTTAGCAATTTTGTAAATAATGAAATAATATATGAATAATTATAATTTTAAAATAAATACATCAATATAATATTAAATAGACGAAGAAATTTTGCATTTATATTAGTATCAATCATCATCAATTTACTTTTTTTTATATAGGCCTACATACAGTATATATAAAACGTGTTTTAATTACTATAAAAATAAAATTAGATATTGAAATATATGTGTTTTTATTTTTATTATACGTAGTCTATATACTATTTAATAAAAATAATTATACAGAATTAATAAAAAATCTGGACTAGAATAACTTTAAATAATTCTAAAAACAAGTAATTATTACTGCAAAACTCTCAACAAAATATTTTTGCTAAATGTCAAACTTGAATTATGGCAAATATTCGATATTAACAGGCCTACTTAGCCGAGGCCCTTGACGAAGATGGCCTGCAAAATTTAGTCTTTTATGTAAAAAGAAAATGCGCGTGGTGAAGATTTTTTAAAATCACTTTCGTAATAAAACCATATTTGTTTTATTCGTATAATCTTAAGGCTATTGGAGTGAGGCGAGGCCCCACGTTTGACTTATCCAAGGCCTATCTTATTTCTAGTAAGCCTGGCTCGAAACTATTTCTACATTCTTCGAGCGTTTATTTTTGTTTTAATTAAAATAAAAACATGTAATTAATCATAATCTAAAAAAGTTGTATTTATGACTTTTGATAGTTAAAAGAAAATATATTGTTAGTGATTTTATCTTCCGGTCCAGCAAAAGCAGACACGAACAAACACACCTTGAAATATAATTAGGAAGTTTGACTATTAAGGATAGTTTTTTTATAACTACAACTAGTCAAAAATTGTCATAAAATTTGCATTTGAAATTCTTTGATTTGATTAAATCAGACGATGCCAATTGTTTTTTTTACACGTACGAAAAACGAGAAAAGTTTCTATTTTTAAGAAAAACATTCAAAATTATTTGGATTTTTTAAAAACCCCTCTTAATTAATTAGGTAGGGTGAAGTATTTTAGGTACAGTGAAGTAATTAGGTACAGTGAAGTATTTTAGAAAGAGCATAAGAGAGGAGAAAAGGGGAATTGTTTTTTGGCGTAGATAAAAACGATTTTTCTGCTTATAAACAGATGTTTGTATTTACTGTTAGGGGAATATTTCTCTTTGGCGATATTAAAATATTTGCATATAATTTACGTTCTAATTCGACGATTAATTTCTTACGTTACCTTCGAGCGCCTTAAAGAAGTTTAGACAAAAGCGTTCGAATTACGGACTCGTTTGAATCTCGATAGAAATTATCCGCTTATTAAAATTTCAATAATTAATTCCGCGAAAGTATTTTTAATTAGAGTATTAGGAAGTTTTTATTCGGATCTATCGTTTCTGGAAATTCGACCCTGAGACGTTCCAGAGTCCTGTTCGAGTTAATTTCGACAGATTTGTCGGCTCTGCCAGCATATTTTATTAAGTAATTGATACTAATTACTTTACGTGACTTTAGCTGTTTGAATAGAGTTATTTACTTTTGTAAAATACCCAAAAAATTCTAGAAAAATGTTTATTTCCGTTAAACATTCTTTACAGGAAGAATCAGTCGATTTACCTTCTAAATCGACCAATTTAGAAAATAAATGTTCGGATTAAGAGATATTAATGCGTATAGGAAAATTTTTACCCCTACAAATATACGTAAAAATGCCTCCATTTATTTACCGCTAGTGTAACAAATTTTTAATTTAAAATTGTAAAAAAGTTTGACCTTTTTTTCCATAAAACTTTTTCGAAAAAGTAATTTCGAGAGTAGTTAGAGAATATGAAATTATAGTAAATTTAAAACAAATAAATTTCCTCGGGAGTAAATGATTTATTCAGAAACACATCCAAGTCACGGTTGTAGTGTTGTGTTAATGAATTTTTTAAACACAGTAGGAAAAGAATACTCGCTATTTTATTATTCTATATTATTCATTTATGGCGAAGATAATTAAATGTCCGAACCGTAAAGATCAACACGCATTTATTTTTTTCACTTTTCGCCTAACGAAGAGGACTTTAAATTAACGCGTAAAAGAATTTTTCTTAATGCTTTTAATATAAATATGTTAATATATTTTTTGGGCAAGTTAATCGCTTAAAAAAAGGCATTTATCTAAATTCCTGATGGTGGCATTTTTAATCGCCGAGCATTTAATTGGCAACACGTTAATTCGCGTTTTCAGCGGCGATAAAAGACGCGCAACACTTTAGGAATATTTCGATAACGACCGAATTTTTGAAAGCGAAAAATCGAATTAAAAAAGGGGGGAAAGAAAAGCGCAAAAATTAAACCGCACGACTCGATATAAATAAGGGAAATTAAAGTAAGTCTTATTAAAAGAAAGGAAAGTAGTTTGCGAGCCGCCGCTACTTACTAATTAAGGCCGAAACGTCGCGAATTTCAAAACATTGGCACGCAACCCGAGTTGGTAGTAACTTTGGTCATTTTCCCTCCTCCACCAGGTCGGAATGGCCGAATCACGTAAAGTTCTACTCGCCAACCGTTGTGTTTACCCGAATCCCGACGACATGCCATCGACTTATTCGCACGAATTCTAAAAATACATTCTTCTCGCCTTATCGACTCCGAAAATTCGTTTTTCGCCCGGCAAAAAACAAACTCCAAGTTACGCTTTGTAATCGAGTTAACTCCAATCTTTACGGATAAACCGAACTTATTATACACTCGGTCGATTTCCCGGTTGCAATTTTTTTTGTTTGTTTCCCTCCAAAAAACCACTAATAGACGCTTCTTTTAAACTTTTAAAGGCGTACGAAATTACGCCACTTTATTATAATTAAGTTTAATAATAATAACGCACGTTTTGAAATTTTTATTTCAGGTTATTGTTTGCGCCGATCCGCGGAACATTCCAGCTCAACGAGGTGTGTTATACCCTTTTCGTCGAGAGCCACATCGGGAAGGAATTTCTGATCTTTATAAGAAGCATCCACGCAGAAGAACAAACAAACGTCGACGGAGAATAATTTGTTAATTAAAAATTACAAGCAATGTTAACATTTGTTCATTATCCCCACTACGAATACGAGGAATTTATCAATATCTTTTCGTATCGCGTTTCGTTCGAAGGCGATATTGTTTTTCGGACCGACGAATCCGTCACTTACGCTAAATGCTCGGTTAAACGAACCTCGCGACACTCCAAATCCCCTTATATCACGACAGACTCTCCCATACAGCATCTTACGTCTTTTTAAAAAAATTTTCCCGGTTATTTTGATGTCGAAGCGACACCTTCTCTTTAACGCGTTTCCACTCGCTTCCGTTTTCTTCCGACGGTTAAACAAACCGCCAACGAAAAGAAAAGGGGGGAAAACCGGAAGACGCGAGAAAAAAAAATCCGACGATGGCGTGTCACGCGAAAATAACGCGTGGACTCGATTCGATCGAGTCATTATTCGAACGATCGATCGAATTCGATCGCGAGAAAAGGCGAACTGGAGGCGGCGTCGGACGAAGAGAGAAAGAAAGAACACTTTTTATTGCTATACACGAAAAGGTTACAGGTGACGTAACGGAACGGAAGAGACTAAGCACCGGCGTCCTCCCCCCGACGGTGGACCGGACCGGGCGACTCTCCGGTGCCGGCCCGGTTGCTAGGGGAACTCGTCGTCTTCGTCGGCCATCTCCTTGGCGTATTCCAGGTCCTGCTGCTCCCGCTCCCGACGCTCCTGAAACACAAAACGCAATCGTTAATCGCTTTCTCTCCTTCCTTCCTTCGCTTTTTTTCCCGGAGCGGATGGACCACTTGCGCGCGCCGCCCTACCCTGGCGCTGCGGCCGCGGCCTTTCCGGGCCGGACCGACCGGAAGTCGGCCGCGCGCCGTTTTTGTCCGCGGTCCGGACCGGGGCGCGGGACGGGCGCGGAGCGGCCGGCGCGATCGATGGCGCCAAAGGGTTAGAGGTGGACGAGTCCAATCGCCGTGGGGGCGCCGGCTCTCGTCGAAGGTCGACTCCCCGGCCTGTGGACCGGTCCGACCCTCGGCCAAATATTACGGACGGCTTCTTCCTCCCGCATCGTATTTCCCCGGGGCTGCGGATGCCGAATAATTGGAGGAAATCGCGTAACGAGTAGAAGGAATCGATACTACCCTTCGGTCACTCGGCCCAACGCCGTAGATTCGTTCTCTCCGCTCGTCTCCCCCTGGCATTTAAGACGACCCGACCGAGTTCTCGCTCCGATAAGTTTCTATCGACGAGGCCTTTTTATGGCTTTTAAACGACACTTTTCCTTTCCTCGCTTCGTTTAAAAAACAAAAAATGGAGAATTTCCAGCCGGTTTTTGCCCGGTCGACACCACGTGGCGCTGGTTTTCGTCGACTCGAGACAATAAAATGCATAGGCGAAAAAAATAAAGAGCCGCTCTTTAATCAAGAGAAAATCGAAAGTTTTTAAAACCGGATCCGATTTCGTCTGCCGTCGTGGACGGACCGGAAATTGCTTTCTGCCAACGGAAATACGTCGATACCGCCGCGTATTTTCCTAGACGAGAGCGGGAAAACGCGCGCGCTCTCCGGGAAAAGCTCTCGACCTCCGAACTTTCGGCGGTTCGATCCCAACCGCCAAACCTTCAAAAGTTGCCAGGGAGCGTTTCCGAGAGGGCCACCATCTCGACTCGGACCCCTCGAGTACGGTTTCAAAGCAGAATTTCGCCAAGAGGATCGACAATAGCTAAACGGCTGTACTCGGTCTATATTGCCAGGTAACGTAGGAAGAAAGACTTACATCACGAGGGAAATTATACGGGAAACGCCCTTTTTCCAAGATTTTAGCCACGACCCTAACAGAATTACACAGAAAAATCCTTCCTACTTATCGAATCCCTTCGAAAACAATAAAACTCGCGTATTCGCGGGCAACGATTCGCCTCGGAACGAGCTCTATTTCCCACACAAGTCTTAAATTAATTATTTTTCGAATGGCCGGTGACGTGAGAGAACGACGTAAAAGGGGATCGATGTAACTACCGCGATTTTACGAGCTTAACGACGTTCGACTCTTCACGAATTTTCTGGTCGGAAAATCGGAAAGAAAAAAAAAAGAAATAATAATAATAATCTTGCGCACGTCTATCGAAGCCAACGCTATCGATAAAACGCTGCTAAAATGACTCCCCCTTACGTGGAGGGGGGAAAAAACCAGACGGACGACCTCTCGTTCCGTCAGACGAAAACACTTCTATAACTTTATATAATGGCTATAGGTTCTCGTCACGTCCAGATTGATTTAGTAGGATTTCCCAGTCGCCCCGACCTCGTGAGACTCTTCGTAACCGCTCCTACGAACCGCCGTCGTCTAGGGTTTCCCTTTCGCAACCGAAAACTTATTTACGTTTTTACTGCCCGAGAAAAAACTGCAGATCGTTCCAAAAATTCGCCCGACCTTGCAACGAGGAGCGATACTTCCGTTTGTTTTCTTTCCTTGACCTAAATCACCACCGAAGGAAGTACGTTTTCAATAATCGCCAACCCGGACGACGTAGTTGCCGGAATGACGGGAGGAGGGGGAAGAAAAAAAAAGCGTTTAAAAATAAAATAAAAATAGAAATAACCCTTCGATTAATTAATCAGATCCTAGATATAATGGAAAAGCAAATCGAGTGTGTAAACTTCGGGTCGAAGGTGCGGGAATCGACTGTAATCTGTCGGAATGGTCTAGCAGAACGTAACACAGAAAACGGTATTATATAAACAAATATTCCCGTCCGAAAGTTGGCCTCTATTGTTCCGTCATTTATTGACAAAACTGACAGCGTCCACTTAACGAATACGGCTGCAGTCATTCGACGGTTCATGAATAAACGATTAACGAGCGACGACGAAGGGCACGAACCCGTGTCGCCATCTGTCGGGCCCTGCCGTTACTACCACCTATCGAATTTCTCGTCTTTTCTCATTTCCGTGATACGAAACAATTTTAAAAAATAGGAAATAAAAAATAATTCGGAATCGCAGGCACTCGTTAAGACGAATATAAATGTAAATAACCGAAGAGGAGGAGCGGAAAAAAGCCGGTTCGACTTCCGTTTTGTAAAAGTTGGTTAAGTAGGAAGATAAAAGCGAAAATTTCTTTAGAAAGAGAGCCACTCGAGCCGACGGAAACTCGGAGCCTGCCAATTAATAGCTAATTGATGCCCGAGTCGAGGATCCTCGAGAAGAAACAAAAAAGTAGCACTTCATTCGATTTAAGTCGTCAACGGGCCGGAGAAAGCCCGAACATGTTTGGTCGAGGACTAAACATCACGAACGACGCCTTTTTTCTCCTCCTCCCTCCACAAATCGACACTTCGCCAGAATTAAAATTAAAATAATTTGCTTTTTTCCGCCTCGTCGTAATAAAGGAGACGTTTGGCGTCCAGGTGGAGATCGAATCGATCGAAACACGACCGCGGTCGAAAACAAAAGGTATAGTATCATAAAGGAGGGAAACCCGGCCGAAGACGGAAAATAATTAGCCAACGTCAATTACGAACAGGTAAAGCACGAAATGAAGAGAATTTGAAGGACGTTGATTTTATTTATTTCTTTTTCTCGACTGTCTGGATTCTGTTGTCGTCTTCGACGGGATACTTTGTATACAATCAGCGACAGGCTGTCTACAGAGAAATCCTACATCCGATCCGATATCCTTGACTTCTACCAATGATAAATGATTCTCTCTTTGTGCCATTGGCTCCGAGATATTACGTACAACGTCCTTATTTATGTCGATGATAAATTTGCATGTAGAATAAAAGGCGATTTTCACTTTAAAAGCGTCACAAAATTATTCCAGAAAAATTTCACTCTCGAATTAATCCAGTAAAAACGAATATCGACAATTAAAAGATGCTAAATAAACAACATTATAATATATTGCCTAGGTCACCAACACAGTGGATATCTTCAACCAAACCATTAATGTCTCTTCAATTTTTATCATCTTATATAACTTACCCCATATTTTAATTAGGAAATGGGCCTATAGTCTATTCTATTTTTCAAAAATCAAATGTCTAATGTTTTCCAAGAAATAAAATATACTACGGATTATATATATATACATACACATACACACACTAATAATAATTACTTACTATATATATATATATATATATATTTTTTTTTATTAAGAAATTGTGAATAAGGAAAGATGGATTTAAAACTTCAGTTTTCCTGCTATTTCATAACATCAAATGACTGAATTTATTGTTTACAATGTTATTAATATGTAAAAGTGTCTATTTTTTCTTTTAAACCTTTATTATGTGTGCAGGTATGTACGTATGTATGAAAGTAAGTCCTCAATTTAATGGACTAATTGGAGGAGGAATGTCCACTTTTGCTGACAGTCCATTAAATTAAATATATTTCAAAAACATATATTAATAATGAATTGTACTATACATGAAAGAATTTATACTCATTAACTCAATGACCCAACCTTTTATCATACTCTATTCACAAATAAAAAAATTAAGGAAAAATTTTCTGTCCATTAAATCCCAGACTTATTGTATATTCTTTCATAGTAAAAAACAATATTTTCAATATTTATTACACCTAATAGACCTATTTTCATTTAAATATATTCCTGAATAATGACAATAAAAAATAATAATAAGTATTACTACAAAATTTCCAATATGTTTTGTCAGATTTTTAATTTCTAATGAAATCTGTTTCACTTGACAAGAATTTCTTATCCTTGTTTAACAACTTTACAGTATTTTCTATATCTGATGACAAATGAACAATAAAAACATATATTAAGCACACAATGCCATTTTTCTTTAAATATATTTGATTGAAAAAATGAATTTTAAATGCAATATTTTCTGCTGCAAAAAAATATTGTGGCAATAATGGCACTGTAAGTGGCTGTATTTTGAAATTAAATTTGTGTGTAAGAAATAACAATTTTAAGTGCTGAAGTTCAATTCATGTGACTTTCGGCACTTAAAATGATATGGCTTATGTTTAAAATTTATAATTTGTTAATTAAACTAAAAAATAATTATTTATTTTATCAATTTTGTACAATCACATCATGAAAAAGAAAAACAACCTAAATGTAACAGTAATGAAGTTGAGATATCTATCAGAAATTTCTGTAAATAAATCTAAAAGTAAGATGTGTGAAGACCCAACCGAGGTCCGAATCATGTAAATCGCGATATTCCTATGATTAAATAATAACGATAGATTAAATATGAGAGGGAGAGGAAAATCCCATAAATTAAACAACGCGGCACAAAATGTAGACAACGAGTCTCGGATGACTCGAACACGTGTTAAACTAACTGTCAATGTCAGAGTGAAAGGTTATAAGTCAGAGACAAGTGGTCATATGCAGGTAGAACTTTGACCCCATCGCTCATAAACAATCAATCTAGGGAAACAATTGCTGAAAAGAGGAAAAGATTTAAGAGAGATAAATCATTGCATATGATCGTTCGAGTACCCAGATGACAGAAATCGCGAGTAACGGAGCTAAATTATAAACGCGAGTCTTGCAATTTTGTCAACAATCGACAAAACAGCGTCGAGCCGACACCTGGAATTGGACCTTTCTCGTGACCTGAGGCGGTCTCAGTTTATCCCAAAACAAAAGAGAGACACCAATTGGGAAGCAAGAAAGGGGATGAAGGGCCAATCGGAAGTCCGAATAGTGGAAGAGAAAAACTATAAAAATCCGAAATCCTAGGTCAGGAG